AATAGATGTGGAACAACTGTGTATATACAGATTATAACAAAATATTACCTCACATAGAAAAGTCAGTAAACAAAATGATACTAACCAATTGAAAAACAATCAACATCATTCAGAAATACTAAATTCAAGAAAAAAAAAGAAACCTAATTAAGATTATCAATACAAGAATCCAATTACCATTTATGAACATAAACTAGATTCTTCTAACAATAGTATACTCAACCAATAATGGAATAACATCAATAATAAGTTAGTAACATGTTATCTATGACCCTCAACTAAATCTGTGATGTATGCTATTTATGTTGACAGATATAACTAGTATATAATATCAATCGAAAGTGGAAAACCTGACAGCAGAAGGCTATAAAGTTATTAAGTAAATCACATACAAAATAAGTTTTACTTAACATAGCTAATCTATTCAACAGTTTTATATCACCGTCTAACATACCAACTACATTTCAACATTTACTGTAACACATTCCTATCGATATACAATTATTGGTATTGTAGTGAACAAGAACACCGGTGGGGACAATCTAACGTATTTGATCCCCAATTACAGGACTTGTTATTAAAATCTAACAATCATAAAATAAATGCTTAATTTGCAAAATGTCCATCAATTGTCCCATAATCAATCATACTTCATTGTTCTTGCATTTTCATACAAATTGCATTCTGTTTCCATTCTTTACTGTTCGATCCTATTGTCTCTCTGCTACCAGACATTCTGTTCGTGACTAAAGTCATATACTACTTATGTCGATATAAGTAGCACACACACCACACTATAAATTATTTCCATTTATCAAGTAATACGTATAGACGTATAACTATGTATATAGAGATATTATGATTCATATCTTGTATACTATTTTATTCTTTATCCTTAAACTAAATCAAACCCAAACTGTGATATCTATCTATCTATCTCTATCTTTTTTCTTTCTTTTAAAATGCATTGAATAAAATAAATTAAATTTCTCTTTCTCAAAGTTTCTCTGACCTAGTGAAATAGTTTTCATTGTTACCTACGGTTTTCATTATTATTATTATTATTGTTATAACAGCGACTATGTTAATCAGCCAACCAACGAAATACTAATACTAATAATAATAATAATAATAATGCGAAACTTTCAGTCGTTTCATTTTCCTCTCTTAACCTAATCCTCTCTCTCGCTCTCGCTCTCGCTCTCTCCTTAATCATTGTCTACTACTACCAATTCAAACTCTGGCATCGTTTTCAACTCATTGACCTCATCAGGTAATTAGGTCATTATTTATGGACTATCAAAACTAAAGTGATTAGAGGAATAATAGGGCGAATAACAACAACGACAACAATAAAAATATATATATATATAGTTAAACATTTTTTTTCTTCTAGTAAACTGAAATCCAGTAAATAATTCTTTTTATACTTGACTAAGTTAACTAAAATGATTATGGTCAATTGGTAAACTGTGAATAATGAATAAAACAGAGGAACAAGAAGAAGAAGAAGAAGAAAGAAAAGAAGAAAGAAAGAAAGAAAGAAAAAATCAAGCAAAGAAAAAAGATTGATATTATTATTATTATATCCCAAAACGAGATAACTGATAAGACCTATGTATTTGTTTTTTTCTAAGCGCGTAGTATAGTAACCGTAGAAAAATTGATTTGATATTTTCTTGGTTAAAATTTTTTTTACAATTCTATCTAATAATATAAACAATTGAGAAAGGTGTACTGAAAACAAACACTGATTTAACAAAGTAATTTTAGTAAATCTGTACGGAACTATGGATACACACTGTTGAGGAGTCCTATAATATTATGAAACCGGCGTTTCTGTGCTTCCATGTTTTCAATGGTAATCGAACATAGTTTCAAGTGGAATGTTTAACAGTCGAATTCTGTCATGATTGTAGTAAAAAATAGAAGCATTGATTGTCATAAATGGATGTTAAGATATGTGTTGAAATGATCAAAATTTAAGGTGGTCACGATAAACCCTGGATCCCTTGAGTTTTAATCGCTGACGTGGTTTCTATATATACAAAAAAAGTCCTGCAATATGCTTTCTGGTTTTTGAATTCTAAACAATCTCATTAAAAAATCTAGACGCTAACACAATCTTTACATTTGATATATTCTTCGATTTGCATTTATTCTCGTTTCTATTTAGAATGGTTAGTAAAATCAAGTGGCAACCACTTATCACTGAGTAATTTGAATAAACAGTATTAAAGCCACTAGAGTAATGGTTGAATTTCTTTTAGATGAGATGCATTTAAATGACAGCATTCTATTAAGCTGGCTTTTCTGCTATATCAATTACAAGTGCCTATCAGGACTCAGTGGCTAAGTGGATAACGCGATGGCGTTTGAGGCGAACGGTACTGAGTTCAAGTCCCAGAGTGAACATCGACTCTGAGATGCAGGTACGTCCTGCTGACGAGTCCCAAACAGGACGAAACGTGCGTCATGGATTCCACTGCTAGCCACTACCCATCTTTGCTTATCAATTACATTGTTTTTTTCTAGCATACTACTGTATCACTGAAATCGAAGTTTAAACTAAATCTGTGATGTATGCTACTTATGTCTGTCAACATAAGTAGTATATTATATCGATCGAAAGCGGAAAACCTGGCAGCAGGAGGCTATGAAGATCGAGTTGAAGAGAATCGAAAAGAAATTTTTTTAAAAAAGGGTTGTGGACTGAAAGAATCTCATAAAATGTTTTACTAAGATACTCTGTGATTTTGTAATAAATACATTGGTTGTGTCCCACCTGCGTTGTAGTTCATTGTGTAGTGAACAAGAACAAAAGTGGGGACAATCGAATGCATTTGATACGAAATGGAAGAGCATCTCATTAAAATCTGAAAACCATATAATAAAAGGTTAATTTTCAAAATAATAATCCATCGTCTCAAGCTTGATTGTTTCTTTTGCAAATATCAGTTTATTGTCTCAGATTTCATTGTTCATGAACTTTCATACTAATTGCGTTTCATTCCCGTTTTTTTTCCTTATCGATCTACTACTGAAATACATTTTATGCATGACCAACGTTATATACTACTTATGTGGATATAAGTAACCTACACCACAATTGCCCATAATGTAAAATCTATTGAGTTACTTGACTTTATAAAGTTTTTGTAAATTTAAAGAAAGCATGGTGTTGTGCCGCATTTTTTCAAAAGAATCTAACTTACATTCAAAGACATTACATATTAATTATTAATGGAAGTAAAATAAAGGGATTTAATCGGATTCTGGCTATGTACCTTAATTGCATATTGTCTATGCCAGACGACTTCAGAATTATCAGTGAATACAAGCCTACACATTATAGACTAAAGTATTTTTAAGTGATTGTGTTATACCCCAGTGAAGATTAAATTACGGGTAACTTCTCAGATCTATTAATGAACCTATATTCTATGTGTATTCATATTGTATAACTATTCAGTTACTAGATTATGTATGTCTATATTCCTCTTATTATAAACTTCATTTTGACTTATGAATTATTATTATACGATTTACTGTTCTCAAGTTATCCCCAGATTACTAATTACACTCTTCCACGTTCACAGCCACATTTTGGTTTGATCTTGTATCGTGTATAAATGTTATTTCCTATTTTACGGTGTGATGTGATTTGTTTGGCTGGTATATAAACCAATTATGTTTGAAATAAACGATTCGCATAGTGGAAGCTGTTAATGGGATTTTGGACTCAACTGGACGTGCTAGACGAAAATAGGACCAATAAGGACGCTAGGTTGCTCATATCGATTGAACGTCATTGGTTTGGTACAGTACTAAGATTGAATAGGTCGTATTTCGATTTTCGGATAAATCACGTGATAACTAGACTAGCTTAAGTTCACAACAGATTGGTATGACATATATGTTAAAATGAAATAAGATAATAATCGAAAATTCGAATTGTCATGGGGTCAAAAAAACAGTGACAACTGGCTTCTTGAAAATATATAGATCATCTTCACTGAGGTTAATCTGTCAACTACTTTATCGAAACTTAGTAAAGCTACATTTCGGTTGCTAATTAATTATTTTTAAAAAAAAGAAACTTTCAGATCTCAACATTTTAAACCGTATCAATTATGTGTAACGCATACACACGTAGATGAACAATCTCATTCATTGCCTTCGTCAGTTTTCTTCAGTATTTACTTCACTTCCAAGACGAACGTATTGACCTATGTGAAATTATTGAGTTGAAAATAATTGTGTCCCATCGTTGATGTTCATACCGAGACTCCAACTCAGTGTCCTTCACTTAAAACACTAACACGTTATCTATTTAGTTATTGACTCCAAATAAGCGATAGGTTGTATAATGAAGACAAATTGAGCCTTGCCCCTGTGGATGTCAAGATCTGTAAGTTGTCAGTGTAACTATGTTTTACAAACAAAATGCTTGTAAATAGTATTAATATCAAGGCAATTCGTTCAGAATACAAAGATATCAAACTGACTGATCCGTTGAAATCTTTAACACTAACAACAGAGACATTCCAACCTATTGAACAGAAATAAATCATCTACACTTTTTCAAGAAATAATATGTTATCTTTCATCTATAATTGTAAACATTCATTTTACTCAAACTGTAAGCACTTGATGTAATGAATTCATAAATCAATTATTACTTTGAACATAGTTCTCGGTATTTTTCTTGAAGATCACTATGCTAAACATTAATGGCATCTTCAGTAAACTAAACTATTTACAGTAATCATAACAACTACCATATATCTATATATAGATCCAAACAAACAAGAAATAAATGTCGTTAGTAGGTATTCTTAATCCATAGAGGATATGATATTGACTCTTCAGTTCTGATGCCTAAAGCCTAACCTTCAATGCTTACTGGTCTCCAATGGTTATTCATAATTTAAATCAAATTCAATAGTTTACAAAATAAACGATAATAATATTGATTATAAATATTGATTATTTTTTACCGTTTTCAATTTTGATAAATTCATTTGTTGTAAATGATTTGTAACCAAGGATCGATTCATGTTTTCTATTGCATTTACATTACATGGTTGAGCTAATGGAGGTAATGAAAGTGATGTTTTTAATAAAGAAGTATCATGATGATGATGTTGATGATGATGATGATGATGATGATGATGAAGTGGAGGATCAACAGGAGTAGGTTTATTCAATCGATGAATCAATGGAGATGTTATAGATACAGATGTTTGTTTAGTATTAAATGTTGGTTTAGTAATGATAGATGATGTATTTGTAGGTGGTCTAAATGCAGCTGGCGTTTTTGTACTATATAATTCATATTCTAATCCACCTGTAATGAGAAAAAATGGATATGCAAACTCGGGAAATGTACCAAATTACGTTATTTAGTGTGTAAAGGCAGTTAATGAATACTGTTAAAATGTAATTTAAATTAGAGATAATGTAAAATAGAAAAAAAAGATTGATATTGAAAAAGTAACCAGATTATATCAAAGTGTTGGGATATTCAGAAAAATATCCCAATCATTATCATGTTAAGTCTAATGGTGTCCTTGGACTTTGAATGAACAATTCTTATTGGTCAATGTTTATTTCACTTGTTAAATATTGTACAAATGTTGTTTTCTATTTTATGGTACGATGTGGTCTGGTTGATTGGTATATAAACAGAGTATGTCTGAAATAAACGACCTGATCTGATTCGATTCGATTCGATTCATATTACAGAAGCTGAATGTGTTAAATAACTAAACTATTCATATTCGTGTTCCTCTTATCATAAGCTTTATTTTGACCTATGAACTGTTATTATGTGACTTACCATTCTTGAGTTATGCCCTATCTATCAATTACTATCTCCCTTATTCACAGCCACATTTGACTAAATCTTGTACAAATGTTGTTTTCTATTTTATGGTACGATGTGGTCTGTTTGATTGGTATATAAACTGAGTATGTTTGAAATATAACGATTCATATCTCAGAGGCTGAGACTTGCGTTCTGGACTCAACTGGCTGGGATAGACAGGGGAGCAGGGCCGATCAGGACTCTAGGCCGTTCGTGCGTGTTTTACGTGTCATTGATCCGATCGATAATTCGCTGTGCTCTAATCTGCAATCCACAAGACACAATACAAAGTATAAATGAAGATAGATAATGGTTAGCAGTAGAATTCACAAAAAGTGCTCCTTCTTGTTTGGGATTAGTCACATGCATGTACCTTTATCCCAGTATTTATGCTCACAATGGAACGCGAACCCAATGGAAATTTATAAGGATTATTTAAAGTCTAAACAAAAATGAAAAAAAGTTTTCTTCTTTACTAATATATGACAGCAAAGTATCTATTATGGTCAGTAATCATTATCAACGTGAAACCTAAGATGAATTTGTATCATTTTTACGATGTCCCAGTTTGATAGAAATGAAATCTAATAATTGAATTCATGAGTCAATGAAAGCCGAACCATCATGGGAAACCTAGAAGCACTGGACGGCTGTTCCGTCCTATTGTGTTACTCATCCGTAGTACATGTCCACAGTTCCACCACATGAGGTTTGAACCCAAAACCTATCGGTCTCGGGCGCGAACGCTTAATCTCCAGACCACTGAGCCGGCATCCAGGTTGTCTAGGTTAACGTATCATCCTACACTTATATATCGTTATCAGGTAATTCATTTCTGTTGGTTATTACTTTAGTAATCTGCCAATTTAAGATGAAACAGAATGAAACTTTAAAAAGTTTATTCTAATCAACTTATCACAGAAATATTAGGTGTAAGATTACAAATTTCAATCACTTTACTATTAGTTTGTTGTACTTTTAGTTTCCTAGACTTATTTCCACAACTAAACTTTATCCTGTAACTTCATTTGATTAAGGGTATATTTTATCTTCACTAACTGATGAACCTAAAGTTGGAAAACTGAACTGTCATGAATATGGTGGTTTGAGTGTAAGTTTATGTATCAACATCAGTTGTGTACAATTTACGGAGCTGGGAAAATCGATATACTATTCTGTTTCATCAGACTAAGTGATATTTAGTAACTTGATTAGCAAAACTCAGTTATGTAAGATAAAAAGATTGTATATTCCTTCATGTTGTGTATTAATTGAAGTTAGATAATAACCTCCTTGAATGTTGATTCACTGGTCTAGACGTTAAGTATTCGTATGCACGATCAAAGATCTTGGATTTCGAATCTTTTCAGTGGGGTCGTGGATCCTCACTGCAGAGGAGCCCCATAGTAGAACAAAACAGCTTTTTATTGTTTCCAAGTTGTCAATAGTGATTTAACTTAGATAGGTTCATGATTTCAATAATATTACTCCATATTTTTCAGTTGAATTTTTGAACATGTCTCTAACACAGTATAACTTACAAAACTCCCAGTCAATAACCTAAAGAAGTTTATAATATTTGTATATTTTCCTGGACTAACCAAGACAGAAAGTGGTGTTTATAATTTTATTACTGATATATTCAAACGTTGCATTTTCATACACATTACATTTGATTATCAGACACATATCACTAGTTATATGCCTCCTCAGCTAATCATAAATTTTGACTTATGTGGGAATTGTAAAAACAGTGATTGATTTCAACATTTTGGATATGTAATCTATATATTAGTGCTTTAAGTACTGTTACTATCATTACATTTGTCACTATGATTAGTTGTGTAAATGTGCATAATAACAGAATGTTAGTTTAACTAGCATATATAATCTGTCTACTGACCAAGTTAATCCAATGTAAATAATAAATGGTCAAATATGAAAGTAATTTCAATGGTTAAGATCATGAGTCAGTTGAAGCTAGACCACCATGGAAAACCTGGAAGCACTGGTGGTCTAGCTTCAACTGACTCATGATCTTAACCATTGAAATTACTACAATCTCCACAAAAAAAAACCCATCTGATATTAATCAAATATGAAAGTGTTTCTGATGTATATATTTCATACATTCCATTTCACAGACAAACGAAGTAAAATAAACGTGAAGTAGAGAAGGTGATTGTTTCTACCCTAAATATTACATACTATAAGCGTTATTGTGATAGGCAATGCCTAATGCGAGCAAGGAGACAAACATTGAATAAAAGAATAAATGTACATGCCTACACATAAACATACACAAAATGTATCAGTATAGAATTATGAAAACTGTAAAAATTGATTTAGCGGTTATATTCTTATCTTGGATTATCACAGACTATTCAAAAGATAGATTAAGTTCATACTAATTAATATTATATATTGAAGACTCTATAAACTGATCATTATCAAGGTTATCAAAATTGTATAGTGATGATCAAACAATCGTAAAATAACTGATTCTTACAGTTAATTAGTCAAAGTTTGAATGATTTAATTATAGTGTGATATGTGCTACTTATATCGACATAAGTAGTGTATGACTTTAGTCACGAACAGAATGTCTGGTAGCAGAGAGACAATAAGATCGAACAGTAAAGAATAAGAAACGAATGCAATTTGTATGAAAATGCAAGAACAATAAAGTCTGAGTCACTTTGAGCCAATTGATGGACATTTTGCAAATCAAACGTTTACTTTATGATTGTTAGATTTTATTAACAAGTCGTGTAATTTTGTGTCGATAACATTCGACTGTATCCACTCGTGTTATTGTTCACTACAGTAACATCACAAATTATGGAGTTATAAAATATCTTTACAAATCTTACAGGAAACTATCAATCCTTTCAAGATAATAGATATGACTTACTAAAGATTGTCAACAAGTATGAAATATAAGTCAACATAGAATTTCCTATCGGTTACTTTAAATCACCTAATAAATTTACTTTACATAACACTTTTTATCATCTATATGATTATCATTGTAAATTGAAGTAGATTGTAATAGCCATCCAAATGAAAGGATAACTTGTGAACCTGTGTGGCTTGTATATTGGATAACGCAACGACATCGCCAATCAGAGAGCAGCGAATTATCGATCGAACCACTGACGCATGAAACACGTACGAGTAACCTAGTGTCCTTATTGGTCTTGCTTCCTGTCTAGCCCAGCTAGTTGAGTCCAGAACACCAATCTCAGACTGTGCAATATGAATCATTATTTCAAACATACCGGTGTTTATATACCAATCAAATAGACCACAACGTACCATAAAATAAGAAACAACATTTGTACAATATTTGGTCAAAAGTGGCTGTGAATGAGGGAGATAGTAATTAATAGACAGGTCATAACTCAAGAATGGTAAATCGTATAATAATAGTCTATGGGTCAAATTAAACCTTATAATAAGGCCGACATGAATATGAACGATAAAAATATACTCATAGTAGTGGTCCATAAATGGATCCCAAAAGTTACCATTCATTATGTTTATCGGGATATAACAATAATATACATTAGTGATTATCTTTTTATATAATTCATAGTTTTACAATTGTAATTAATTAGCTTATCTCTAACTTGTTTTTTTTCCATTCCTTCACTTCCTTTTTGTAATATTAACAATAACAACAACAACAATAAAAATGAAAATACCTCCTTAATACTTAACCATCCTCTTGGGATATTCACTTTTTTCTTTTTGTGAAAAAAAAAATACCCCGGGGAAAGTTTAAGTCGTTCAATAGAGTGTGTGTAATTGAATCGATTAAAAAGAAAAAGAAGAGGAAAATCTTAACTATCAGAGAAAATAACGAAATACGTTCTATGCGAGAACATATTGAGATCAATAGTTTTCCTTTCTTTTTTTTTCCTTTTTTTTGTTCCATAGAAAAAGTTTTTCACAAAGAGAAAATCTTTTTTTTTAAATTTTTTTCTCTATTTGAAAATTTTGGGTAAAATATTTTTTTTGTTGTTGTTGTAAGTTTAAGCATTAAAATCATTTTTTTCCCATCAAGTTTCTTTTTTTTTATCAATTGAGTAAAATTTCTTAGTTTTCTTTAGAAGTTTAGACAGGAATTGAAATCATCAGTCAATTGAAGCTAGACCACCATGGAAAACCTGGAAGCACTGAATGGCCGTTTCGTCCTAGTATGGGACTCCTCAGTGGCAGTGTGCACTCACGATCCCGCCCCCCGTGAGATTCGAAGCCATAACCTATCAGTCTCGCACGCAGGCATTAAATATTAGACTACTGTGCCGGCAACCAACGGTGTTCATATCTAACTTCAACCAATCCACGAAATTGTGTCACCATACACGATTGTCTTCAGTGAGCTAATATCTTACAACAGACCTGGTTGAACTGCACTAGTCATGGCTTCTCACTAGAACTCCACGAAATGCCTCTTAATACATAACAAAAGACAA